CTTCTGTGTGCGCACACATGCATCTCATCATCATCATCTTCTTCTTCTCTGTCTCTGGCTGTCTGGCTGTCTGTCTCTCTCGCCTACCATCTATCTATCTATCTATCTATCTATCTATCTATCTATCTATCTATCTATCTATCTATCATCTATCTATCTATCTATCTATCTATCTATCTATCTATCTATCTATCATCTATTACAAGGAGTTTTCTCAGTACTGTTTTGAGTTGACAACAATTTAAAATTTTTCTCCTGGCTTTGAGGTTGCAGGAAATGTTTATATAGCAGTTCATACCTACATAGGAATATAATGCAAACAAGTGAACCAGAGAATTGAAAATGTCATATACTGTAGTTATAACTTTCTAAAACATCAATAATTAGTTATGAATAATTACATCTCTTCTGTGTCCTGTTAAATCACAATTGAACTTAAGCTAAAAATGAATACCGTAGCCAAAACCAGTGGCAACAAAATATAAATCAAATGAAATTGTGCACTGTAATAAATTCAGCTCATTTTATTAAAATCTATTCTGATTTAAGCACCTCATAACATTAAAATATAGATTCTGTGCATAACTCCCCACCCGAAATTTCAAATATGGTATCAGCCCGTGTTTTACATTATAATTTAAGAGTGGTTCCCAGGTTAAGCTGAAATCTTTGTCAGACTTGTTTCTCAGATAGGAAATTATTCTATATACTGAAGCATATTCCCATAGCTTAGTTAGCCATTCATCCATTGAAGTTATACATTTTAAGGCTCATATAACTAAGCAATTAGAATCAATATTTTTTTCCATTTCCGTGCACAGGGCAGTGTTTAAAGCTTATAGCAATAGTTTTGTCTCTTAAATAATCCGTGAACCAAAAAGGAGGTCTGGAAGTATTGTCCCCTTCCTCAGGGTGAACATGTCCCTGATCATACCTTCTGTGTGCGCACACATGCACACCCACACATACCACTAAAAACATCCGCCTATGACCAGAACAAATATTCAGAATTCTTTTCTGGGAAAGCAAGCAACAATTAAAAGGTTCTGTCCTAACTGGAGGATCTTGAAATGTGTGAGATCACTGCTGTGATAGGTGAATTAATCAATAATCTCTGCTTATCAGAGTTTAGGGTTTCAAGGCTATTGATCACTGCAGCCTGCAGATAGCACTTCTCCCTGGTGTCTCAAATGATGGCCTCTTTTTTATGTGTGTTTGTATATGTTCCAGCCTCAGCTGGGATTCTGGCTTTTAAGCTTCGTCTGGGGTCAAGGGGTTTCTTTTCCTTTGGCACAAATTAGGCGTTGTATTTTGGATTCATGGCAAATTGAAACATGTGCTCCTTCCCAGATCATTTATAGGAATAAAGATTCTCAGAGTTTGGCCTGTTGCCTTACTGGTGGCATGTTTGGGAACTCTGGCACGATTTTATTTTGTTGATGGAGTGATTCATATGGTTTCTCTGGCAGATGTACAAAATCTAGATCTGTTCCAGTCGGGCTTCAGGCCTGGGTACAGCACGGAAACGGCATTGGTCGCGTTGGTTGATGATCTCTGGAGGGCTCGGGACAGGGGTTGTTCCTCTGTCCTGGTCCTGTTAGACCTCTCAGTGGCTTTTGATACCATCGACCATGGTATCATGCTGCACCGGCTGGAAGGGTTGGGGGTGGGAGGCACCGTTTTACGGTGGTTCTCCTCCTTTCTCTCTGACCGGTCGCAGTCTGTGTTGACAGGGGGGCAGAGATCGACCCCGAGGCCCCTTATATGTGGGGTGCCGCAGGGATCGGTTCTCTCGCCCCTTCTGTTCAACATTTATGTAAAGCCGCTGGGCGAGATCATCCATGGTTTCGGGGTGAAGTACCATCTGTACGCTGATGACACCCAGCTGTACATCTCCACCCCGGACCACCCCAACGATGCCCTTGAAGTGATGTCCCAGTGCCTGGAGGCCGTGCGGATCTGGATGGGGAGAAACGGGCTCAGGCTCAACCCATCCAAGACCGAGTGGCTGTGGTTTCCGACGTCCCGATATAGTCAGCTGGCGCCATCGCTGGCTATTGGGGGCGAATCATTGGCCCCCACGGAAAGGGCTCGTAACTTGGGCGTCCTCCTGGACTCACGGCTGTCTTTAGAAGAGCACTTGACGGCCGTGACCGGGAGGATTTTTCATCAGGTTCGCCTGATTCGCCAGTTGCGTCCCTTTCTAGATCAGGACTCGTTACGCACAGTGACTCATGCCCTCGTCACCTCTCGTCTGGACTATTGTAATGCTCTCTGCATGGGGCTCTCCTTGAGGTGCACCCGGAGGCTCCAACTGGCACAGAGTGCGGCCGCGCGGGTGGTTATGGGAGCAACATGGAGCTCCCATGTAACACCTCTCCTGCGCGAGCTGCACTGGCTCCCGGTGGTCTTCCGGGTGCGCTTCAAGGTTCTGGTTACCACCTTTAAAGCGCTCCATGGCTTGGGACCTGGTTACTTACGGGACCACCTACTACCATCAACAGCCTCCCACCGACCAGTACGCTCCCACAGAGAGGGGCTCCTCCAGGTGCCGTCGGCCAAACAATGTCGGCTGTCGGCCCCTAGGGGGAGAGCCTTCTCTGTGGGGGCACCGACGATCTGGAATGAGCTCCCCCCAGAGATACGGAGGATTCCGGATCTGCGCACCTTCCGCCGCGAGTTGAAGACGCTTTTGTTTCATCAAGCTGGCCTCGCCTAAATCTTCTCCCTTTTAAGTGTAAATTCTAAATTTTTAATGGATTTTAAAATATGGGTATTTTAAATTGGGTATTAATTCAGCCAAATTTATTTAATTCATTTTATTCGATTTTAAATTTTGTATATTTATGTGTTTTATTTCATGGCTGTGCACCGCCCTGAGTCCTTCGGGAGTAGGGCGGTATAGAAATTCAATAAATAATAAATAATAATAAATAATAATAATAAAATTAAAAAAAACCCAAATATGATCAACAAATTAAGGCATACCAGCCATAAAATCCTAACTTTAAAACAGATTTTTGAGGTGGCTTCTCTTTGCCTTCTCTGTATGACATAGAGTGGAATTGTTCTAGCATATTAAAGAAATGATGTGGTGAGGAGATGGGTATTTTGTTGTGAAGTTAGATAAATAAATTGATTTGATGTAAATTAGTCTATACTGTTTAGTCTATATCCCTTTAGTCAGGAAGGAAGGAAAAGTGGTGATTTTCCTGTTTGGTGAAAAGTGTGGTAGGCATCCAGTTTGCATCTGATTGATAAAGGGAAGCAAAATATCAGTGATTTTTCCCAAACATAACCTAAGTAAGCTGAGCCCAAAGTTCTCTCTCCTTTTGCTAAGACATTAACATTTCATCTACCAATCGATAGATTGGATAATTAATTTTTGAATTAATTTTTTTTAAATTAAGGAAATGATTTAATGAATGATGTGGGGAAGAGATGCTGCCTAGGAAATAATCAGAGAAGAAAGGCAGGAGTGAGTGGCTTAATGATCAGAGACAGAAATTTAGGAAAGACTTGTCCTAATGGATGAAGCAGTTAAAAGTGGTGACGGACATTTGTACCTTCAGACTTGCAAAATTCTGTTAATGGAATTGAAGAGCAGGGAGAATTGGGAGAGGTGGAATTAAATATGTCATCAGTTTAGAGTTGTTGCGTTCCCATAAGCACTCCAAGTCCAACTCCTCCTGAACCCCGTTAACTCTTATGTGGTACCAACTTATTATTGAACTTTAGTTGACCACATTCTTGTGTGTAGGCTTGAATAAATATTCTATGCTGCATCTTATCTGATGGTCCCAATTTTTTGTACTTGATAGTAATCTTACAATAAAGTACAATTAGCTCATCAAGTTATGTTTCGTGTCTGGTTTACCCTGGAGGGCTGACACGTGCAAAATTTGGGGGGTGTTGTTTATGTTAAAGCCTCTTCTGACTTTGTGCCTGCTGTGAAGCACCATTTTTCATCTAGAAATATGCTTTTGTTTTCTTCTGAAAGAGAGGTCTCAATTCCCATTGATTAACTAAAGCAGTGAGTTGGCAAGATGTCTTTAATAAAGCCATAATCTTTGTGAAAGGCCTTTCTGATCTTTATCTCTCTGATTGCTTCTTGCCCTGGGTCTTTAGATATTTGAAGGAGGATGTCATGTTTACCCCCAATCTTCTCCAGGCTGAAAATATTCCAACGGCAACATACTTTACAGGACTTTCCCCCCACACATTCTACAAGTTGACCATCATCATTGCTTTTTATACAACCATATCCTATCTTGTTCCTAGGTGTGTAAATATATATCTATTTGAAGGCCATCGTGTTTATCCTTCCCATGTTTCATTCCATTGCTTTAGGGCTGATTTTCCATTTTCCCAAGATGTTTTGGGATATTATAAAGTAATAATTTCCCTACTTGTGCTTAAAGCCATAATAGTTGATAAAGGAATTCTCTAACCTGAAAGAAGTGAAAGATGGAATTTGTCTTGATGTGGGGGGTGGGGTGAGAAAATGCACCTCTCTGGCAATTAAACCATGGTTTATCATAGAATCTAAAGCAGACCACAATCCCTCAATTGTCCCAAAGGTGCTTTTTCAAAAGGCAACTGGACTTTCTATGTTTCTCTCTCTCTCTCTCTTTTTTTAATTTGATTTATATGCCGCCCTTCTCCAGAGACTCAGGGCAGCTTACAGTGCGTTAAGCAATAGCCTTCATACTTTTGTATATGTACTCTTGAAGATGTTTCACTTGTCATCCAAGAAGCATCTTCAGTTCTGACTCATCCAAGATGATTATTGGATGAGAAGCACAACATCTTCAAGAGAAAAAACACCAAAAGTCCTGTTGCCTTTTCAAAAAGCAATTTTGGGACAACCATGACCTGGAAGACTGAGAATCTCCATAAATCCCTCAATTGGTTCCCTGATAACTTGCCCTTCCTTGTTTTGGGGCCTTCCTGATCTTCTCCTGAGTTAATACTTTCTTTTTCTACTTCTTGAACCTCAGCTTCTCGTCCTCGCCTTGAAGATTCATCTCCACGGATAATAGAGCATCCGTCTGACCTCATTGTATCTAAGGGGGAACCAGCAACACTCAACTGCAAAGCCGAAGGACGGCCCACACCCATCATTGAGTGGTACAAAGATGGTGAGCGAGTGGAAACAGACAAGGAAGATCCCCGGTCTCATCGCATGCTGCTGCCCAGTGGCTCCCTCTTCTTCCTGCGCATCGTGCATGGACGGAGGAGTAAACCGGATGAAGGCGTTTATGTTTGTGTCGCTAGAAACTATCTGGGTGAGGCTGTCAGCAGGAATGCCTCCCTGGAGGTAGCCAGTAAGTAGATTTTTTTTTTTGTCTGAACATGATGACCTGGATATATTGGATATCCTGCTTTGTTAGTTTGACATGAGTGAGGAGTTATGGGTTGGTAAAGAGTTACCTTGAACTTGGGTTACACATTGCGTGCACCAGACCTGGATTTTGAGATGAATAATCTTGTGGCAGTCTTCAGATGTATTTAGCAGGCTGCCTAATTGTAGCTTTGCAATTTCCCATTTCATTAGAAAGAAGCTATGTTATATATCTGGATGTTACAATAAAGCATTTTGGGAACTGGATGGTGTATTTTTTTACATTAAGATGAAGAGTTTTAGGCTTTGAAAAATATATTTGTCGAAATTTACTCGTCTGCCCAAATACAAGAGAATCTATAAAATGTTGCACGTAGCCTCAACCAGCAGGAGAATTGCTCTTCAAATTTTTTGGCAGTTGCTCAATATTCTTCTCTAGGAAACTTCATTCTCTTCTCTCCTTTCCTTTTCTGTTTTCTCCCAGAAGTGTCATTCAACATTCCAGAGCTGCTTAATCTTCACTGAACCATTCAGCTCTTTTGGGGAGTTAGATATAGATACAAATAAAAAAAATTGGAAGTATCTTTCTAGCTATCTAATTTGCAAACCTTGAAGCTGAGCTTGGCAGTATCTTTTTGTGTTTCAATGCCACATGAACCCATCTTGTGGATGTTAAATATTTATTTCTGGTTTGACATGGAATTGGCTGTAGAGGGTTTGATCGGGTTTACTGTTGTTGTAGTTTCAGCAATAATATAGCTTTAGGAATTCACCGACTACTCTAGACTTTTTAAACAATAGTACAGCCCAACAGTAGACCCAAGATTAAATCATGAAAATCTAATTAATGTCAGGGTTCCAAGTAACATCCCCAATGAAAGAAGACTCTGAGGCTTGGAGTTCCTCAAAGTTCCATTTTATTAGAGATGTCATATTGGCACATCTGGGAAAACCCGAATCTAAAAGCTTCCAGGTTTTTCACACCAAAAAGAAAATCAAAGTCCCTGCCCAGCACCCACATGTCCATCACATGGTCCAATCATCCACCATCCAAACTTAAGACACCTCCCAGTCACCCGACTCCAGGTGCCAAGGCACTGTGTCTTTGACTCTTTGAGAAAGGAATGTTATTATGACTATATATCACCCATGCTCCATACAATCCTCCCTTCCAATTTCCCACAGTAGTACATGTGGCAGGCCTGAAGGCCCAATGCAAAAGATGGCTTCCAGGCCCAACAATTATAGTATTGTATGGTTACTGTTTTGTTTGCAGTACAACAGCATCCTTCTCTGTCATGGACATCCTTTAGATGTCTTGACTTTAGCTTTCAGATTTTACAGTCATTGCTGAAAATTTGGAAGTGGAAATCTATGAATCCAGCAAGTACCAAGGCTGGGAAGAATGATCGACAGTATTGAAAAGTTCAATCTTGGTACCTACTTTTCTTTTCTTTGAATTATATATACTTCAAAATTGCTTGACCCTTTCTGTCTGCTTAGCACATGAATTTATGTACTATCTTTTATGGCTGACTGTGAACCATATAGTCTCCTTCACAAATATGTATCTTCTAGATGCATTTGGGATTACAGATCTTGATATTCCCATGTTGCCTGTAATAACAACTTAGCTGGAAGATTCCAAGATACTGTTTTCAGTTCCTGGAGATCATGGCATGCTGTTGCTTTTCAGTAGAAGTTTGAGCTTCTGACCATCTTGGTTGCATGAGTTTGGTATAAGGAATAAAGGAAAAAAGTTAGCTTAGTCTCATGAATGAAGGCAAATATATGTGTCCCTGGATAATGTTGAAGAATCTTAACTGGGTTGATCACCAGGACCAGAGGTTTAGTCTTTCAAGCTGTTGGACTCCAGCACGAGTCCAAAAGCTTGTTATCTTAGTTTAACTAAGATCACAGTTTTCTGTCTGCCATGAAGCAATTTTTACATATCTTCCAGTTTTATTTCTTTTATGTTAGCAGGTTAGATGAAGGTTTGATGGCCTGTGAGATCAGATGTTCTCGTACTGATGGGTGCTTACTGGCTTTGTTCTTAGTGACAGTTTTAGAGTGTCTTCCTACATTTCATTGATATTGTGTTTTGCCTTGTTTTTAATGTGTTGTTAGATGTCCAGGGATGCATCTACGAGATGAACAGTCACATAAGTCAATTTAATTCATGAATTAATGTTGCTTGAGCATCTTCTATGTCATATTTTACTTTGATCTCTACTTTGATGAGTTACTGAGATTCAGTCCCAGCGCCTTTCCTTCCTTGTTGAAACTGAACTGATCTGAAAAAAAGGAATAGAAAGCTCAGAATAATAGAACAGAATAATAGAGTTGAGAGGGGCCTTGGAGATCTTCTAATCCAAACTCCTGCTCAGGCAGGAAACCATGTACTATTTCAGGCAAATTATTGTCCAATCTCTTCTTAAAAACTTCCAGTGTTGGGATATTCACAACTTTTGGAGGCAAGTTGTTCCACTGATTAATTGTTCTAACTGTCAGGAAATTTCTCCTTAATTCTAGGTTGCTTCTCTCCTTGCTTAGTTTCCATCTGTTGCTTCTTGTTCAGGTGCTTTGGAGAATAGGTTGATGCCCCCTCTTCTTTGTGACAGCCCCTCAAATATCGGAACACTGCTGTCATGTTGCCCCTAGTCCTTCTTTTCATTAAACTAGACATACCCAATTCCTGCAACCGTTCATTATATGTAGCTCAAGACAATTCCTTGGAGATTGCAGTGTGCCGTAAAGAAGCATGGGTTTTCTTTTCTAAAAAAGGAGCTTTACCCCAAGATGGAGCAACCTGTGGCTCAGATACATTCTCCTTTTCCATGGCTTGTGCCCCCCCACCCCATCCTCAAGATAATGTCTCTGAAATTGAGTAGCAAAGAGCCGCATCCTACCAGCATGATTTTCTGTCATTTTTAGCAGAAAGAGATAAAATGCATTAACTCTAAAAAGAAATGAGGATAAAGGGCTGCAAATTTCACCAGCCCCCTCTGGAGATAATACCATGATGCTATCATGATTATGCTAGCTCTCAGCTACTCCAAAAATTGATTCTTTTGTGGCGGGGGCAACCAGTACAGCCCCTGGCTACAAAAACTTCATTTTGCAGTCCTTCTTACTGCTGTGTGTATATGTAAGGAAGAACATATCCAGACCGGGAGGACTAGCTCCCTATCTTTTTCAAAATAGTTTTCTTTTCACTTATGTGCTGGAGATGTGAGAATGACAGGTTTTCTGTTCCGCTGCTCATCTCTCGTTTGTTCTCTTCTCTTGCTCCAGTTTCCTTCAAATGCCGCCTCCCCTACAGGCTGCACCATTCTGCACTGATTGAAAGTAAAAAGGCCCAAACTAGGAAGAAAAGAGAACTAATCTCATTTTGGGGGGGATTGGGAGCTGTTTGCTTAGCAATATGAGATAAGCAAGAAGTCAAATGAGAGACAAAAAGGAAACTAGATATGAATTCAGTCCATTTTGCACTGCTTCTTTCCTTCTTCACTGACCACCCTGACCTGGGTGGATTTGGGATGACAGGAAACCAGTTTGACTGTTTTCCTGTCATGATGCCCATTCTTGGTTGCCTTGAGGTTGGATCAGAGGTGGGTTTCAGCAGGTTCTGACCAGTTCTGGAGAACCGGTAGCAGAAATTTTGAATAGTTCGGAGAACCGGTAGTAAAAATTCTGACTGGCCCCGCCCCCATCTGCCTCCCAAGTCCCAGCTGATCGGGAGAAAATGGAGATTTTGCAGTAACCTTCCTCTGGAGTGGGGTGGGAATGGAGATTTTACAGTATCCTTCCCCTGCCACGCCCACCAAGCCACACCCACAGAACCGATAGTAAAAAATTTTGAAACCCACCACTGGGTTGGATCTACTAAGATATTTCTTTCCAGTGAAGACTTTATAATTTTGCTTGTACTTCTTCAGATGTTTTGAACTACTGCTCCCAGAATTCCTTTGCGTTTGCAATTTGCATGGTCTGAAGGTGTCAAACATCTGGAAGGGGCATCCAATTTTATATCTTAGATGTAAGCCTTTTTTCCCCAAGTAAATTCACTAAAGATTATATTTTACAAACTAAAAGAAAAATAAAAAAGGTCCAAAGGGGAAAAACAGGAAAGGCGTAAAGAATAGAATAGGAAAAAAACACATACAGTTAACTATCAACTTATAACCATTTGCTTAATGATCAGAGTTATGATGGTGCTGAAAAAAAGTGGCTTATGATCAATCATCACACTTACAACCATTGCAGCAACCCCACAATCATAGGGTTACAACTCCAGCCAATGTCTGGCAGTCTTTTCATGAGATACAAGTGTCTGGAGCACTTGAGGGTGATTTCTGTTCCTCTCCCTTGTCCATAGAGATTTTGTTCTTTGTCCATAGAGGTTTTGCCAGCTCTTTGTTCTTTGACATATTTGTTGGCTATGCTTTTAATAGAGCCATTTTCAATCTGCCATTCTTCTCTGGAAACATATCTTAGATATAAGGAGGCAGCCTATATAATTTGGCTAAAGGAGCTTCTTGCTGAAGGTTTTTGGAATGCTTCAGAAGGCTTGGAGGCAGAAGAACAGAAGTAGGAAGGAAGCAATATTAGCATGCTTGTGTTATATGGACAGGACCCAGATTCAGTCCCTGGCATCTCCTTGAAGAGACCTATGTCATATGCATATCGTAAAGCATCATTGAAAAACTGTTGCTTATCTTTAGTGTTAAAAAAAAACCTTATAGCATTCAGCCAGATGCCTCTAGAAAAAAGGCATGCAAGACCTCAGGACTGTAGACTGTCCTACTGATGATATTGAGAAACAGGCAGACTCTCGAAGTACTATGTAAAAGTACCACTGGTACCCTGCTGCCCATAGCTTCTATGCTGCCAACTCCTGGCATACAGCCATCATGGTTAATAGCTTCCATCATTTGCCCCATTCTGTTTTGAACCTCATTAAGTTGCCAGCCAATTCTACAC